TAAAACAAGAAGCAAGATATACGAGCATGTGACATGCTGAAATTAAAATAATTGCGTCTGTTATACCATCCGATTCTATTCTAAACAAGTGGAAATGTTTTAGTCGGACAACACTGGCTGCACAATACTCTGTTTTTGAAGTATTTCGGCCTTTTCTGTGCTGTCCAATTAAGCTCTGTTAATAATTCATAAGAAATTTTAATAGGTGCAAAAGTATCGAAATTGTAATATATAAATATATATATTCTCTACATGCTGATTGTTTCGACCAGATCATCTCTTATAAGAGACAGCATCAACACAGTAAAAGGGCTAGACTAGAAAGATGAAGAGATTTCAAAGATGGAAACTTCCACGATTTCAAAACATTTCACATTTCCTAAGACCTTGAAATCTAATATACTCTTTTTTATCAAGTTTCTAATTAAAGCTGTTTACCTTTTAATTCTTCACTTCGTGTCACGAGCACACGATGAAATCCGACCAAAGTGATTTAAAAAGATTTCTCAGAATGCAAGATCATAGAATAAGACATAAGCTCAGGTTATGCTAGGTTAGATTATTGAAGCCGTTCGACCCGGAGATACTTAATTTAATCGAAAAGAATATTCATAAATTTTCAAATTATTTTGTTTAATGCGGTTGGCATGTGTTGGCATTTGATCGAAAAAAGTTTTGAAATTAGAATCTACCTTTCTTGGAGAAGATTTCACGAAATGCACATTAAGGAGCTTCAATACATTTTTACATAATTTATTAATAATATATAACTTAATTATATAAAATAAATAAATATAACTAAATAAAATATTATAATAAATTATAAATATTAAAAAAAGTTTACATTAAACAGAAGTAGATGAGACGGGATCCAGTTAGGACTTTTAATAATAGAAAAGTGACAAATGGATTTTGTCTTAATATTTAATTCGTTGCAAATTAAGAATCGAATAAAAGATTACTTTATGAGATGAGAGAAAAGTTAGGAATAAATTAGTTCAATTTATTGTTTGTTCCATGCTCATATGAACTAACAATATGAACATTCGGCATGCGGTGTCACGTTTCAGATGACTGAACGATACTTGGAAACAAGTGCGTAATATGCAAGGAGCATGTTGTTCATACTAGCTGCTGCTACTTGATATGTGTAGCACATATGTACATATACGCATACATATACATATACCCAAACATATACACATATATGTAAATATACTGTATATATAGCATACATATGGGGCTGCGTCGTGTCGAAGGGCTGTGACCAGGGCCGAAACGCCAAAAAGTTGCTTCAATTTAATTTGACTTTGATCGCCAGCTGACGCAGTTGGTGTCATCCCCATGTCAAGTACTCGTCCTCCGGCTTGCATATATGGAAATCGGCCATATTAGATGGGAGCATGTCGCATTTTGTTTATGGATATGCTCGCAGCATCCGCGCAAGCTGTGCGCGAATTACAAAACGACTCAAATATCGTATCCAGAACATTTTGTAATTTCAATCAATGAAATTTATGAAAATTGTATGAACAGTTGAATAGATATTTATCCCAATATTTTTTATCTTGTTTTTGCAACGTTCTTTTTCATTCATTTTTTTTTAGGCACTTAAACGTAATACTCTTTTACACTTGAGTTAGTTTATGGAAAATTTCATTTTTATAGCATTGCGTTTATGAAATAAGACAGTAAGATATATTTTTTTGCCCCATTAAGATTATTGTTGCTCTGTGTGTGTTGTGTTTTTTTGTTTTTCATCTACTCTGCGAGTCTTTAAAATGTAAATACATAAACACAAAGTTGTGTATCTGATGTCGAATGTGGGTTGTGTTTTATTGCCAAAAGTGCTGCGAAGTAGCTGAAAACTTCATAAATCACAAAAGTTTGTTTGGCCATGAAAAGGCTTAAGGGTTTATCAAAATGAAAATTTATTGGTGCTCAAATACTTGGAATTTTAGATTTATGTATTTTCGTTTCCCTTGTCACTGGCCTTAGGAAATACGCATAACATCGATTTCTTGTAGCATAAAAACGAGCAACAAACTCGAAAAGAGATTTGCTCGAACAGAAACAAAATCTCAGTTTTGCGCAATTTCCATCACAATATTAATGCAATTCCCTCCTTATCGTAGCAGTAGAAAATTGCTGTTAATTTCAATTTACGAGACAATTTCAGAAATGCTTCGCTGCAATGCAGGCCAATTTGGCCAGGTAAACGATACCAATTACACGTATTCATTACAATTGAGTCCGATTGCGGGTCAGTTATGCTGCAGCGATACAAATACAAACAACTAAGTATGCATTTTTTGTTAGATTTTAAGTTGCTTCCGTTGCTGTGCCCTGTGCACATTAAAAATAACTAGAAGGGGTATGATAGAAAGAAACTTATTTCGACCTCCTCTCGATTATTTCTAGCCACACATTCGGAAAGAGAATCTTCGAAATCAATCAAAGATAAGGTTTGTTTGTGGTAAAAAGTTTTCTGCTAAAAATAAGAATTTCTTACAAACGATTTAAAACTCAATGCCAATTCTTCTGGAAACAGCTAAGAAAGTGTATTAATAAATCATGTGAATGGAATGAAAAGTAAATTAGAGCCTTTCACTATTGGTAATCAAAATCAATTCCATTTCTCTATAATAATGCCAACTAGCTTAAAACAGTAATTGAAATATATCCCAGAATAAATACCCCCAAATCTCCAGAGATTTCCGTGCCAGACCTGACTACAGCGTATCTCCTAGTCGAGCACTCTCAGCTGTTATACTCTTACTTGCTTTTAGCATCATTTTTCAAAGCGACTGCGTTTCCTGCAGCATTTCTGTTGCCAAGTGAAGCAGCTGGCATTAATTTTCATTTAAATTCCGCTTGTTAAATATGCAAAACTCTCTTTGTGGTCCAGTTGGGCAGCACGGAACCCGCAGCCCAGGCACCAGAACATTTTCTCACCAATCTCTGACAGTTGCCTGTTAACGAACCAGTTGCCATTTCGAGTTATTATTAAAATTGCAATGCTCCGTTCTCCACACCGTGGCCGAGTGTGTGATGTAAAATCTTTGTGGCTTCTCACAAAGTTGCAATTGCGAACAATTTCTTTTTGTGTCTTTGTAGAATTGCTGCAATGTTTGTGGCCACAGTCTGTGATAAAGTATTTATGGAAATCTTAATGAAATGATAAGAGTCTCACATTAAGCAAGCTCTACATAAAACTGTGTATTTCCGGGCACATCTGATTGCATGTAAATCGAAACTGTGGGCGACCGAACTTTTACGAACTATTTTTCCATAAATTGTACCCATTAATAATTGCTTAAAAGAGTGTAACCGACTTGGTAATCGGCTTCGTACTCAATTCAAATATCTTTGGGGGAAATTCATTTCAAAAGTATTTCATATGGCTTGTAAAATCACTACGGTCCAGTGGCACGCAACGGTTTCGGGCTCTAATTTCTTTTTTTTATAATTCCAAGACGTAGTTGGGGACAGGACGTGTGAAAGGACGGGAAACAGGTGAGAGAGTAGTATTAATATAATAAATATACCGCGCAAAGCCGGGTAATAGTGAAATATTTTGTATGCATTCGAACACATATGTAAGCTATGCTCTGGTAAAGGGTAACTTCTAGATGCTTTTTCAGCTGTTCTACTTGGGCATTAATTATGAATAAATACTTATTCGCAACTCCCAGCAGCTAGTATATAAGTATTTGGGAATTATGCATTTTGAGCGCAATTATAAATGCAGTGGGTGACTTGGGTGTCGAGCACAGGAGCCGTGGCAACAACTGTTCAACCTAATCTTCAAAGCAACCACAACCCTTTCTAGTTGCCATCCAAGTAGAGAAAAAAGTGGATAATTTTTAGCTTTGAACGCAGAGTCCCCCTTCGGCTAGAATACATAATTCATAAACCGGCAGCCATTTGAACTGCGCCCACAACGCTTCTCCGCAAGGGAGCGATAGACAAGGACAAATGGATACAGATACAGTGTGCGAAAGGGTTAGAGCAAACTTTGACGGTTCAACTTTTTAATCGGATTCCAGAGCTCGATTGCCACCACATCAGCAGCTACCATCGGCACTTTCTCAGCGGTTTGCTAAGAAATTTCGACAAAAAGTGCCTCGGGCCACGAAGTTTGCCTATTCCCACAATTTGAAATAGAGAAATTTTGTAATATTTACCCCAGCCCTGAGATGCGAACAGAATTATCTTATGCATGTAAAGCAGAAATAAGCTGAGAATATATTTTGTGCAAGAAAATGCACTTACTACTTAGAAGATATTTGCTGCCAGCATGTTAGCCTGACGATTTCACAAAATGGTGCAGAAACCAAAAAAAAGTACAATTGCAGTGCATTAACTTGAAATGATCCTAGAGTGAAACAGCAAATTGAGCTTCTGATTTCAAGAGTCATTTACTTAGATACCCTTTTGCAGGTTTTTATATTTGTATCACGAAATTTATAACACATATATATTCTTGATCGGTATCAACAGCCGGGTTCTATACAAATGGGTCTTTTAATTTGAAAGCTATCATTACGTAGCTTTGAATTTCAGTTTCAGGCAGAAAATATGTCAGAATCGATCTGATCAGGGATCACTTTATCATGTAGCTGACATAAGATTTCTCGGTCAAGAATTAAGTTAATTGATGTTCCTTTAAATGTATCTCGTCTGAAGTCAATAATCGCAATACACATCTACTACTACAACTCAAGCTACAATATCTTGTTGGCCTAAAAACACGTCTCTACTAGGGTATTTAGTTTTCGTTTTTTCTTGTCGGTATTGAACTTAGCTAATTTTTAGCTTCCCCATACATATGATCCATTATTCGAACGTTCGATTGACAAACGCATTTACCCTGTCATGCAACTTAATTGTTTATATGATTTATTGGTTTACTCAAAGCCCGATTGAATATGTTTAAGTCTTGAAAGTGTATTTGAGCTGTGCGGCACAGTGTGGATTGAAAGTTCTTAAGCTGCGGCATGAATTCGCTGGAGTGTGTAACCGCGCGCTGCCTGTTGGGCATCTACTGGTGGATGGGTCTGGTGCCCCTGCCGCTGAGCTCCCAGCTCATGTGGTTGCTGCTCGCTTTGCTTGTGCGTTGCATTTGGTTTGCCTACTATCTGAAGATGCTTTGGATCGGTGTCTCTTATTTTTGGGATGATGATGGACTGAGCATCAGCTACATGAGTGGAACGGCTCTTTTCATAGGCTACTCATTGCTCGGTCTGCTGATACAGGTGGAGAGCGCACTTAAGCATCGAACCTACGAGCGCTTGGACAATTTGCGAGTTCAGTTGCAACTGCGGATGCAGCGTCTGGGCATGTCGCGGGGCTGTCGCCGAGCCTGGAGCCTGCTGCTGCTGCTGGGCACACAGATCGGCAGCGATGTGGCCAGGTCCTGGGCCAATGCACATTATAGCATATCGCCGGTACACATTATCTCCTTGCCCCAGAAGTGGCTGCTGCGCCTACGCTACGTCCAGCTGCTGTGGCAGGTCATGGAGCTGAACCAGCGTGCCCGCCAGCTGCGCCACTCGCTCCTCGGCCTGGCCGCTGGCAATGACCTCTGGCAGCCGTACGGCTCTCAGGAATGGCAGCAGCTGCAGACGCTGCGACTCAGCTATGACCGCATCTACGAGTGCTACGAGGCCTTCAGCGACTGTTACGGCTGGGGCATGCTGGGGCTGCAGATGATGTGCGGCCTGGAGTTCGTGTCCAATGCCTACTGGATAATCACGGAGGCCTACATGTCGCAGCGGATATACATGCTTATCTACAATGGCAACACCTGCTTTGCCATGGGCACGCTTGTTGTAGCGCTCTTCTGGTATGGCGACGCAAGTGCCAATAATGTGAGTATAAGCTAGAGCTAGCGAGATCAGAGATGATTATGCTGTATAATAAAACTACAGCCCCCCACCATTAAGCCCACACTCCTCAAAGTACAAATCATCTCAGACCCTATTATTACCTAATGATCTGTAAGCAAAAGAAACCCGAGAGAGAAGGGCTATTTTCGGCACTCCGAAGATTTAATACTTTTGCAGACCCAACCTTTTGCTCGTTTCTAAGAAGAACGGGGATAGTTAATAGGTAATGCCGAGTATGGTTAAGATATCTTGAAAAACAAAAAATTTTTCATACAACTTAATTTTCTACCGATTGTTCCTATGGCAGCTATATGGTATAGTGGTCCGATCTCAATAAGATTTCGCATAAATATAGAAAACATAGTGAAACTTATAAATAGCGACTTTGGTCAAAGTATCTTGAAAAATAAAAAAGTTGTTTATACAAGAACCTACTTTTCGACCGATCGTTCCTATGGCAGCTATATGATCTAGTGGTCCGATCCAGCTGGTTCCGACATATGTACTGCGTGCAACAGAAAGAGACACTTCTGCAAAGTTTCATCACGATAGCAATTAAACTGAGAGACTAGTTCGCATAGAAACAGACGGACAGACAGACGGACATCGCTATATCGACTCGGCTCGATACTGATCAAGAATATATATACTTTATGGGGTCGGAGATATCTCCTTCTATGCGTTACACGTTTCACGACAAAATTATAATATCTGCATCTGCAAGGGTATAAAAAGCTCTTTATGTGGCGCTAGATTTTTTGAGGAAACAGCTACTTTTCAAGTTCCTAATAAAAAGAATTAACTTTAATTTGTATAGCATACTTGTGGGGAAAACCTGGATATGCATCCCGTATATTTTGTTCTTTTATTTTATTTAGATTTAGTTTCACGACAATTTAGTATTCTTTTCAGCTTGAATTTGTAGGATTAGGTGCCCATAAAAAGGTTCGCCTGCGCTGACTGGCGGGCATTCCATTGAAGACAAATCCCTCTCTTGTTCTATTGTAGGTCTCAACAAATCCGCCACAAACAACAGTTGGAGTATTTATTAAAACACCTTTTAAAGAAGTATTGTGTTAGGGTACCTGGACTTATGCTTTGATATTCTTGTCGCTGTCCTGCTGAGCCACCTAATTGATCCGATAATCGCTGTGAGAATGGAAAATAAACCTAAAATTACTCCAATAATTATGACAGTGATGAATGGGTTGACCTGTGACCTGTGACCTGTGAGCATGACTGACACAGCAGAAGCTGACTCTTTCTGTCTGGTCTTCGCACCCAGTTAACAGTAGACATGCAGCTCTTGAGTGGATCGGTGTTGGCGAGGGAACTCTTTCACCTGGTGCTGTGTTTATTTGGCGTGCGATGGAATGCGCGGCTGCATCGGCTGCAGTTCGTGCCCTTTGGCTTTTGGTTCTGCTGGCTTGTCGTGATTTGGTTAGGTGCTGCAAAGTATATGTCAACATTTCCGTATTGCAAACTCGAGTGTCTGATCGCACTCGCGATGTTTATCACGCCGACCCTGGCACATGGCATCATTTTGCTGAACACCTTTCTGCAGCGACGCACACATCGTCAGCTCGAGCTGCGCTTGGATGTGTCCCGTCTGGAAGCACAGAACCAGCGAAATGTGTTGCTGCGTGTATCTGGCATCTTCGTGCCCTTTCTGGTGGTGCAGAGTCTGATCGTCTGGTTCAAGATAGGTCTCGAGTTTCAATGGTACACGCCAATCTTTTGGTTTTCCTCGCCCAGTGCCTGGGCTGTGCAGCTGAAGCTGATTGCGTTTCTCTCTGATGTTCTGGTGGCCAATGAGCGTGTTCTCTGTGTGCAGCAGAGCCTGAAGCAGCTGGCCAGAAAGCCCAACCCCTGCAGACAGTCGCCGAATGTGGTGCCAGTGATCGAATTCAAGGAAATGTACCGAGAACTACATCAACTGTTTGTGCAGCTTAATTTTGCCTATGGCAGCAGTTTGCTTATCATTTTCATAGTATTATTTTTCGACTTTTTGTTCAACTCCTTTTGGCTGGCTAGACACACGCTGACCCGGCTTAAGAGTCCAGCCTATATATACATTCATTTGGGCTTTTTACTCAACCTGGGACTTCTGCTCTCTGTGACCTGTTGGGACTGCCAGCAAAGCGTTAATCATGTGAGGCATAATCCCACATTTGTTTGTTTAATTTCCTAAAATTCTATTCCATAGAGTCGACAGATCGGGTGCTTGATACCCAAGCTAGTGAATCCCATGGGCAGCAAGCGCTACAACGATTTGGTCAGCGAGTTCCTGTTGCAGACTTTGCATCAACGTTTTGTCGTCACGGCCAAGGACTTTTTCAGCCTCAATTTGCATCTGCTGAGCAGTGTCAGTTAACAACTTAACCTTTTTTTGAGGAATAATAAGGGTGTCCCTTCTCTTCTTGCAGATGTTTGCCGCTGTGGTTACTTATCTGGTCATCCTCATACAGTTTATGCTTGCCGAGAAAAGCTCCCAGGCTACACCCAGGCCGGAGAAAATGACATCCAATGACTAAAAAGCTGGTGTGGAATCCGTTAAAATACTTATTATAATAATAGGTCACAGCTAAAAATTATCTCAATACAGAAACTTATTCTTTAAGATTAAGTATGCATAATATTCAGATTTATAATTATATATATTCCCTGATTTGTACACGTTCTCAAGCTTCTCAAGGATAAAAAGGACATGCAAAGAAAGTCAGAGCGAGTTTTTAGTAGTATGTTATTCTCTTTCAAATAAGAAACTTTAGTCAAGAGTACTCGGCTGTTGCTGCTGCTCATGAATATATATACTCCAGCTTTCTTGCTCTAAAATTTGGTCCCCAGTACCCTCGTTTAACTGCAACAAAAAATAAAGCATCACAGATGTGCTTCAGGGCTTATATTCCTACAATTCCCAACCACGTTTAACACAGACTCATTGACATGGTTTGGCTCAAGCTCCAAAGATTGTTAACACAAAGATGCTTGCTGTGTCACCGCGACAGCTCAGCTCAGCTCCTTGTTTTTTTACATTTCTGTGAACTACAGTAGACACTGATGGGAAGGACTTAAAGATAGCGCATCTAGCTGGCGTAGTTACCACATGTGCTTTAATTATTTATGCCGCCCACAGAGCGTTTTTTGGGTTTGGGCGTTTCGAGTGCCCACATGGAACTTAGACTACATCAAGTTTAGTTATTCTTAAGCAGACAAAACTACTTCACGCATATTAAACTGGCATTTCACAGGCTGAAAAACTTTTTCTAATATGCAAATTCATGCCGAATCCTTATGCATGCCACAGAAAGGATAAAGTAGCGCCAGCAGCAGGGGCACATTCTTGAATTAACACGTGCGAGTTCGCATTAATTTGTAAACTGCTCGGGGGACCTGCACCAACCCTAGCGCCTACGCCGCCTGTGTTTTATGAGTTCAGAGACACGAAGAATAGAACAAAAGCCCAGAGATGAGAACAAGCTGGAGGATTGTTTCTAGGCACGAACCCAAACATGTAGCGCATTTACCACATGGCCACTCAGAATGAAAACTGGCGCTCGCCACTTCGTCCTCAAATTAACATAGAGCAACCACCAAACACTCGAATTAGGAGCATCCACCAACTGGAAGGATTAGTGCACTAAAATCAATCGACGACGACTGATCATGTCGAAACAAATTGAGACGCGCACTACAACGGGACAAGATGGCTCTCATTGGGCTCAATACTCAATATGGATGAAAACAACAGGAGCGACGAGATTCTCAATACTTGTTCAAATCGGCGTCAAAACCAAAAAGGAGCACCAAACACATCCGCCAAAATGGCGAGAAGAGACGAGAAATAACCCAATCAATCTTCTAGGCTATTGATCAGCTTAAATATCACTATTTAACAGCTTATAGATGCTTAATGATACCAATACTTGTCGATACTTATCAAAACTTTGCAATATTTATTTTTCCATTTTTTTTAAAGTTTACAAAAATTAAGCCCTTCACACCGAATATGCAAGGTAACATGCATTTTCTATAAACGAAACATGAAAAAAATTGGAAATGAAAATTTTCTCCTAATTCTAAACTGAAATATCAACACAAGTTCAATAAAAAAAATTATTTAGAGGGTTTAGGTTATGCTTTAGAAACATTTAGTAAAGAGGAGTTCTAGTTTGGGAGTTGTAGTTAGTCTATCTTGGAGATTATATTTAATTATTTAAGTAATATTTTTTGTATCCTTTGTTGAGCACAAATTATATAATTCTACATATAATATTGAAATTAAAATATTGCTTTGCTTTTTTTTAATTTATACCGACAAGGTTCTTATCCAGAAAGTCCTAGGAAGCAGCATTACTATTTTAGAAGCCCGGCTCCTGCTTGTTTCGATAGCTTGACCACTCATCCCACTTATTTAATAGTTATAAGCAAAAAAAAAAAAAAAAACCAGGCAACCATTGGACTGCTTGTCAAATTTGGATTGTTTTGCAAGTCATTGCTGGCTGTCAAAGTGCAAGCATTATATTAAAGAACGTACAGGGCGAAGTTGCGAGGCGGAGTTTCTCTTTCTTATCGGGTCGGAATTATATGTGCTAGAAGCAGCATGAATCCCAGCTTTGAAGAAATGTGGAATGGTTCCGGCTCCGTAAGTTGGTGTGAATCTGTGCTAATCGCTTGACTCCTATTTTATTCAAGACATTCTAACAGCCGACGGGCAACGAACTTGATGACGACATATTCGCATCGATGCAACCTTATCGAGTGCCCCTTGCGACAGCCGCGGGCAGCGACGCGCAAATGGCGATGGCCTACAGGAAGGCGCACGCGTGGAACGTTTACGAGGCGACCTACGAAATGGAGATGATCAGCACAAAGACCATTTGCAGGAAGTGCCTGTTGCACGTGAAGGTCTGTCGCACCTATGGCCACAACCTGAAGAAGTACGAGACAGACCTGCAAATGGCCAACACAGCTGAAAGCTGCAGAAGTAGAGACAAGATTTAGAGGGTATTCAAAGAACCCATTTCCTCTCATAATATACAAACTACAATTCTTTATTTATACAAATTAAACTACAAATGGTTCCTAAATCATCTTGGGCTGATTGGGCAGCCGTATGCGTGCCATTTTGCTGGGCGGTGCGCCATTCTCTGCCAGATGGTTGCCCTCCGTTTCGGCCAGGACCTGCTTCAGCTCGGCATTGGCGCCCACCTGGCAGTTGCGCCACGGCGGCAGCAGGAGGCTCGTGGTGGCCGAGGGGGCGGAGAGCGGCTGCACAATGGGTTTGGCCAAAAGCAGCGGCCCGAACTGAAAGTCGTCGGTTTTCTCCATTTTGGCAATACGTAAATCCTTGACATCTATAAAGGTTTTGTTGTTCAGATTGGCAAAGCGACGCGCCTCGACTAGTTGATTCCTGGCCATGGCTGGGGCAAATCATATTCAAACGGAAAATTTTATCGTATAAATTGGCTTCTTACTGTATGATAAATCCAACAGATAACGACGTGCATCTGGCTCGGCCTGAGCACCATAGCATTGCAGCACGTTGTCTATAAAGTTCAGATCGAATCTGAGATTGAGATTAGCCTCAGTTAATTTGTATTTAGAGTCCATGTGCAAAACTGTAGCAGGAACAACTTTGACAGGATGCAAACTCTGCAAGGCACTGTGTTTGAAAGTAATCGATAGGCAGAAGCGTTACCCAACACTGAACCGCACTGTGGCAAACAGTTTTACAGCACTCTCAACTCTGATTCTTTTTAGAAATATTTGCTCGTTGCAAAGGCTAGAAAAGTTTTTGCGGTGTTAAGAGTTAAAGCTAATTGCTTTTTAGAGTGAGCGAATTATTGGCCAATCCAACTTTTTGGACTAATAAAAAGTTGCGTGCATGCATGAATATTTGATTCATTTTACAAAGCATTCAACTTTTTTGATGAATTTTCAATTTGAAGAGGCTTTTGTCTTGCAGCCGAACCCAACGATGAGGCGAATCATTTGCCAAAACTTTTTAAATATTCATAAAATTCCAGCAGACAACTTTCCAAATTTAATTAGTCAAATGAACGAAACGTTCAGCTCAGTTCAGCTCAGATTATGCAGACAATAGAGTTTAGCCCTGGGGCTTAGAGATTTACTACTTATTTAGCATGGGACTCAGCTCAATTTAAAGTTGAAATAGATTTGTAATTAATGCAAAATAAAGCAACTAGCTTACATGTGAGTCGGCGTGCACTTTTCCGATTGCAATACACGGTATGGCAACAAAAAGGTACGAATGGGAACGGCTATCTATGGCAAGCCGAAGTTTAAATACCCTTATAAACTTGCTTCTATACAAAAACTTTATTCCCGATCTTCCTTAACTTCCTAAAGGAAGGTTATAATAAAGTAGTTTTATTAGATCATGTAAGGCAAAAAGAAAGGCACGTACTTGCTGTGTTTGGTGACGGTAACGAAAATGTTTTTCATGGAGGGAACTACATTTTTCTCGGACTGTTTATATGGCAGCTATATGATACAGTAGTTCGATCCAGTCGGCTCCAGCATATGAACTGACAGCAACAGACAGGTGGACACCGTTCTATGAGGATGGCTTTAAGAAATAAAAACTAGTTTGCATAAAAGCTGACAGACAGAGAGACGAATTTGGCTATATGGATCTGGCTGTTGATATTGATCAAGAACATATATAGTTTATGGGGTCGGCGATATCTTCATTCATGTATAACGCATTTAAAGACAAACTAAAATATTTTCTTCAAGAGCATAGCAGCGGGATAGAAAGATATTTGTAAAGGGGAGCTGCATATATCCAAGACCATAAAATTAATCGCACTTTAAAAAGCTGTTGTAAGTCCTATCTTATGTATTTAATGAGCATAAATATAAAATAGGTTTATTTACAACACACATCTTCCCCAATTAAGAAACCCTAAAGTTATTACTAGAATCAAATTGATTTTGAAAGATGAAGCCAATTGTGCACAGCTTACATAATTAGAGAGGCAAAGGGTATCCCTCAGCCGCATACTCCCGACCAGCGCATTATTACATCTTTACATTTACGTTCTATGCTCGTATGGCCGGCAATCTATTGCCATTTGTAGGCTGGCAAATACGTTTTTGCGCCTCGTTCTGCCCATTCGCCATTTACGTTGGCCGCAATGTGCGCTGGCGAAATCGAAGTTTTATGCTAATTTCTGCAACAGCATACAAGCACACACACACACATACATATATAGACACCTACACACAAACACACACACACATGATAAACCGTCCATCTTGTTGCTCTCTGCAGCATTCCATTTCCCTCTGACTGAAAGGGCCTTATCTGTTTGTCGGACGCCTGTCAACACAAGGCATTACAAGGCAATTACGAATTTGTTTATTGCACTGAAATCTGAATTTTCTGCGGCTGTGCCGAGCTTAACCAAAGATCTCAACGATTTACTGAACAACAAGCTCGACTCACCTTTATCTAGTTGTTCAACGCGTTTAAATGTATTTTTCCAATTAAATAGGAACTTACCTA